TTTCAATTGTTTTAATGATCAAAATGTTAATTTTTTTCTTTCAAATCATAGGTACAGTCATTTTATTTGCATCTTATAAATTAATCAGGAAAATTTTAAAAATACCTGGTAAACCATATATATAATAGTATCTTATTAGTTGTCATAGAGAGCATTTGACTCTTGCTTGACTTATGTTAAAAAAAAAATACAGTACATATTTAGTTACTAAACGATTTTGTCAAAATATTAGACTTGTATTCAAGAATCATCTATTTAAATAAAATCCAAAAAGCAGCCCAACCACATCTTGCAACTCACAGAAGATGCATTAATCAGTCAAAAGCATTGCATGACTATTCTATAGTTTTAAGCAAAAGTTTAGCTTAAAGTAGTTTTCTGAGAATTAAGTTTGATATTAAAATATCCAAAATTCTGCAATTAAGGATTATCATTAACCCATATCTATTAATAACACCTTTTGCTGCTACCTACACCCAGTGGTGTAACCATGTTGAGTGGTCCAATCCTCAGTGTTTTAACCATGGGACTCACTCTGCGCTGATCAATGCTGACATAGGTCCAAGCTGGTTGTTGGTTGCTAGCCGCTTCAATCCACATCAACTTTGCCCATGCTGTGTTCTTGATCTCAGAGCAGTGGAAAATCAAAGGTTGTAGTCTTGCAGTGCTGGTTCAAACCAAGGCAGGTTTAGGAAAACAATTATTAAGGAAAACAATATCTTCACGATGAAAAATAAAACAAGATCTGTGGGGTTAATCTTCATTTGGTTTATATAGCTCTTGGTACGATAAAAATTAACCTTTCCCACATCAGTCTCTATAGTGACAGTGGGCCTTGTCTAAACTTCTGGAGGATCTGGGTGCAAAGTCTTGAAATCAAGAAATCGGGTGACAGCTGACATGGATTTCAGAGGCACTGAGCTCCCCAAAGTCATCTGCTTATATGCACTTCAATCCAAAACTGGTGTGGGGCCAAAGGGTTCTGGAGATTTGGTGATTCTACAATTTTTATTAATTCCAATAATAGTTTTCTTTGTTCCCTATTTCTGTTTTCTTAATCAACTTTCCAAATTTGGAGAATTATCCACCTTCCTTGGGAGTAGTCACAGGGATTGCTCCTCTCTTAAATCCACATCTCACACCACTACTCCACACAGGCAGGGCTAAATTCTGCCTCTTCCTCCTTCCTTCTCAGTATTCTAACTCTGCCCACTTTTCAAGACTGGCATAACTGTCTTTGTGACAAATCTGATTTTTAAAATGTGTAGGAGAAAGGGCATGATTTATTCCCATCATTAATTTCAATTCTCTGACTCTTTTCTGGATTCACTTGTCCAGCAAAAACATAATCAGATCATTTTAACCTTCTGAGTGATAGATAAAATTATTTTCAAATTTATTTTCGCCAATGAAATATATTTGTTTATCTAAATCTTACTTATTATAAAACCCAGGTTGTGTGTGTGTGTGTGTGTGTGTGTGTGTGTCTGTACGTTTATATATTGGATTGGATTTCCTACATTTTTCAACCGATTTCAACAAAACTTCACAGGACTACGTAAAATTACCTTGCGGTGGTTCTAACAATGCCAAAAATTGGAAAAACACAATTGTTTTTGCACGAAATCAATTTGAAATCACGATAAAACACAAGACTTGAACATGTCAAGGTTGTAGTGATCAAGCAATCATGCTCTAAGGAGGCGGTTCCAAAAAGCAACAGCTCATAAGAAGATGCTTGAGTGGAACTTACATGTCACCAATGGAATACAAAGGGAATGAGGGTGGTTCACTACAATATATGCAGTATGGTTGATTTTAGCTATAAAGGTTAGAATTAGTGGGTCTAAGGAATGTAGTTCATCTGAACACTTTCCATGGAAATAGCAATAGAGCAGTAGGAGGCTTGCAATGTTTCACCTGTGGTAAAGGGGGTGGAAGGTGGAAAATAATTTGTATCTTATAAGGAAACAAAACGTTTTTGAATTCTGTCGAGACTGGAAAGTGAAGACTGGGCAGCTCCTGCCTTTATATGGCAGTAGTACTCAATTTAAATCCTGATTTGACTCTTGTAAATGTAGAAAATAGCAGGAGAAGTCAGGTACTTACTTTCTTTTTCCATCCTCTTTAACAATGGATTGTATATATAAGTTCCACTTGAGATCTGGGTTAAGTTTAAATAGGTACTCCAGGCATGGAACCTCTCTGAAAGAACACATGTTCATTTTGATAGATAAAAATTCTGGGTCCATTCGGCGATGATGGAACATTAGTTTTTGAGGCATAGAATGAGATCAACTAGTTCCTTACCACCATCACCACCACCACCACCACTGAGGTCAGAGGAGAGATCAGTTGCCAATCTCTGGTAATCCAGAGTTTTGAAGGTGCACCCATATACCATTGTATCACCAGCATAGGTATTCACAAATGTTCAGAGTATGCTCTAATACAGATCATTTATGTAAAAGATGTTTGGACTGAGAAGCGAGCCTTAGAGGATGCCTGTGTTGATCACTTGGGCCTTGGAGGACTGGTTGTTAGCAACTACCTTCAGTGACCTACCCATTAGTAAGGACTTTATAATTGAGAAGAATCTTCCAATGATTCCATAGCAAGAGAGCTTGTGTAGTAACCCTCTGTGCCACACCTTATCAAAGGCCTTTGAAATATCTAATGCAATTGTCCTTGACATGTATTGTTTGTCTAGTACCTCACTGATTCTGAGAATAATAACAATTAGAATATCAACAGTGGACCAAAAGGCTAGAGAAACTAGTTTACTCTGCTATTTAACTTACAACTGGTGGAAGAAGAGATAGATTCATGCTTTTCCAAGGACATTAATGAGAAAATGAAGGATGGAATTTGAACACTGCTTTCCAATTCCACTCTTCCATGTTGATAACTGTAACTTTACCTGCATATACAATATTAATATTGTTACTCTTACAGATATTTGATGAATAATGTATGAATCAAATAGTTTATGATAGAGTTTGGATAATTAAAATATTATGTTTCAAAACTGAAAATAAAAATTTTAAAATTCATTTTGACTCAGATGGCTTGTATTTTGATATTTTAGAAATATCTATTTGTCTAACTTATTAAATAATGCCTAGAAGGAATTATCTTTTTTCTTCCTATTTTCTCTGCTCTTGAAGTAATATTGATTCCATTTTGTCTTATTTTCCAGGTACTGATAAACAAAAGGAATTTGTAATTGGTGGTGAGGCTTGCATGTGGGGTGAATATGTGGACAACACAAACCTTTTGCCAAGGCTTTGGTAAGTATTATTTTTATTTCTGTAAACAAACAAATTATGAAGTGTAAGTCGATTAATGGATTGCAGCTCAGATTGTGGAAACAGAAAGCCAAGTTTGAGTTCCAGTCTAGGTCATTACATTCACTTACGTTCCAATAACCATGGGAAAGATATGAATCAATTTCTTCTCCCCCCAACTATGGGTAAATAACAGGACAGACTGGGTTCTATAGACTTAGTTGGCAACCAGTCTAGGAGAAGGAAAACTCTGAATCCAAACCAGCCTGGAGAGGATTGGGGTCTGTCAAGCTATCTTGCCCAAGACACACCACTTCTACTAAGTTTGCAGTACGTGTGGTGCCCCTATGACTCTCATTTTACAGAATGTGATCGTGGCTCTATCACTATTTCCATGGAAACTGTTTTAACAAGTTACATTGCTTAGTTTGTCCCAACTCTAACCCTACCAGTTAAGACCTGCCATACCACTTGAGATGAACCACCCTCATACCCTTTGTATTCCATTAATAAGGAGTAAGTTCGACACAGATAGTTTCTTCCAAAGAACTGTTGCTTGTTTAACAGAATTCCAGGGAACACTTTCCTGGCCACTACAATCTTAACTTTTTAAATCTAGAGTTAACCACCATCTTTCCCACATATCTGCATAAACTGTGCCCCTTACTCTTACTGCTCACACAAGAACTACCTTCAGTAACCCTCTACTTTGAGTGGCCCTTGGGCCTTGTATAGATTGAACATTAGTAAAAAAAAAAAATGTTGTTAGTTATACAGGGATAATAGATTTTCCTATGATAGATTTGATGTCAGACTTTCATTTTTGAGATTTCTTGTCATTGTGGCTACATGAATGTCTTTTATCCCTCTCACCATCATTTCATTACATATGTAAATGCAAAGGACTTGGCCTGATGTTATGTGATTCATTTTTAGTTTTATCTACTGTATCCTTTCAGGCCTCGTGCTTCTGTTGTTGCTGAAAGACTATGGAGTGCCAAAGATGTTAAAGATCTTAATAAAGCAAAGATACGATTGGTCCATCACAGATGCCGTATGGTCAGGTATGTTATATAATCTTCTCTTATCAAATTTTTTTATCTTTCTCAAATCATTATAATTTTGGGATCTTTATCCTTTGATTAGATATAGATGAGATGGCTGACTCAATAAGAAAATATATTCTTAAAATAGCAAAAAGTTTGTGTGAAACCAGAGTAACTATTTGGTAATGATCAACATATCACGTAAAAAAATCCATTGTTTGATGAATGAGTTATTCTATTTTTTTCGTTGTCACACAATAAATAACAGAAGGATCTTCAGAATATAACTTATCAATATTTGATTAACAAGACAAACATTTGATTTTTGTTAATCAAATATTGATTACCTACAAATATTTGCTTTGAGCCTTTATATTAGGATATGTGAATTTTGTATGACATCTAAGTGTACAATATGTTCCAATTTCTTTTAAACCATTCATTTACTTTACATTATACGATAAGTGTATAACTATGGCCTTTTTATTATGTCTGTCTTTTCACTAATTTTCTATAGACTGAATTTAATATTTCAATTATTTAACTTCATTGACTAGAGTTATGATTTATTTTAGTAATGTTTTACTGTAAATAATCTTTCTTTTACAGACGTGGAGTTGCAGCTGAACCAATTTCAGGACCAGGATTCTGCCCTAAAGAATATTAATAGCTCATTTCGTTAAAAAAAATCTGTGTGGTGAAGAAGAACAGTATTTCTTTTTGGAACAAAAAGTTATTTTTTTATATTTTAATAAAATCTGTAATTTTAAAATTATTTTTACATTCTTAAAGCAGATTTTTTGTTAGACATTCCATCATAATGATTAATTCTGACTGAAAAATCAAAAAATGTAAACGGAACAGTTATACTGTATTCAAATGAAAATAAAATTTTCTTTACTCACTCAGTGTAACACATGTATGCTTTTTGTCTTACCAAACCCCAATTTGATCACTAGAAGACTTTGACATAGTATTTAAAGAATGACATAAAAAGGTAAATTGGATAATTAATTCTTATTCCTCCAACAATTCCCCAAACCAGTATTTGCTAAAGTTTGACTTTCAATCAGGCTAAAAAAAAAAACAAAATCAAAAGGTTGTTTATCTCTTAACACCACAATTACCAATATATTCACTCAGTAATTTATGTTTTAAAAAGCTTTAGATAAGTTGTGCTTGGTTAAAATAGTGGAGTGGTTTTCAGTTACCCTTCTGCATGGTTTTGAATTCAGTTAATTCCCTTTAGAAACTCAACTCTCAATATTTTTGTTCTCTCTGCTGTGGCCAGATATTGAACTCACAACTCTTTAAGTAAAGTCACTTTTTCGATTACTCAACCAATGCTTTTATCCGCTGGGCCATGTGTCCTTAGGAAATTAACTGAAGCTGATATATCCCAAAAAGATATGGCACGTGGAATGAAAACAATCTAACCTCATGGACTAAAAGTGTTTGGTTCAAAATTGTAACATATATCACCTGAAGAAGGCCTGAGCATACCATGGCCTAAACGTTATGACAATAAAGATGAGAACAACAATCTGAATGATGTAAATAGTTCTGCATTCTTTTCTTTGTTTTCAACAAAATTTTCGTGTTTCTTAATACTTTGCTTAGATTTTGAAATGCATCTTATTATTCCATTGTGTCTTCGGATTTCAGCATCACATTTTCCATCCTCTGTTAAAACACTATATAGATATTTAAATTTAGCTTTTAGTTGTCTACTCTCATCTGGGTTTCTTCTCATAATCATTTAATTTCTCCAACAGCCAACTTCAGAAAGTTTAACCCTATCATTTCTGTCTGAATTTCTGGGTTGAGAAGTTATCATTATTTACACTGCTTGCAGGTAGATTATTGTCCTCATCTTTGTTGTTGCATATTTCAGCTATTGGGGCCTCCAACATTCATCTGGTGTATGTTGATCAGGGTAACCTACAGGAAGGGAATTTCAGACTGAATCCTTTATTTAATCTACGGAGGTAGATTGTTCTCATTTCACTGCTAACAACGATCTCACTCAGTAATCCCCTGCCTTAATTCCCTAAGGACACATGGGCCAATGGATAAAAGTGTTGGTTGAGTAATCCAAAAAGTGACTTTACCAAATAGTTGTGAGTTCAATACCTGGCTACAGCAGAGAGAACAAAAACTTTGAGAATTGAGTTACTAACTGAATTGAAAACCATGGAGAAGGTAACTGAAAACCACTCCACTATCTTGTGGCCATTGGGTCTTGTATTGGGTGAACTAAAATGTGTGTGTGTATATAATCCATTGATGCCTGGAGTCTTGTCTGTCCAAACATTTTTTAACATTTCCCAGATTTCATCTCCTTGGGACCCTCACACCTGTGTCAGTCACTTTGAGGTAAGGAAAATCAACGAAATAGACATTGAACAGAATAGAGCTGAGTCTGGATTCCCCTGTGAAAAATTTCTTGTGTAATGTTATTGTTGAGATTAAATCTCTCATATGTAAAATTATTCTCTATTCGACTCTGGATTTTGTCAACTTATATCGGTGTGTGGCAATGGTGATTTTCTCTGAATATGGATTCTTCTCTCTACCACCATTTCCTCTTGGGTAGGTTCTTATGTATCTTCTTGCCATCAGATATTCCTTGTGTGCATAGCTAGGTCAACTATATTTGCTTGTCTGAGACAGCCACTAACATCCAGTGAATGCATGAATCTGTACCTGGTAGCTAGGTCATCTTCCAGGTCAACTCACTGATGCATCTGGCTTTTCTGATGTTTTAACACTGAGTGCAAAGTGTTTTCGTATCATCTGTACATATTAGTGTCATTACACATCAAATTCTCTTACAACAAAGTTCCCTTATTTACATTAAATTCCATTCCAACCATATCTGGTATTTCTTGGAGTGAATTACATACTACACATTACTAACCACAAAATTCTGATTTGACAGCCTTGTCAACTCTAGCTTCAGTTACTGTCGGCATTGCAAATCTAGATTGAATTAATGACTATAATCATCAGCAAACAAACTAATTCTACTTTTCAGAATTACTTCATTTATTCCTAGCCATAGTCCATGTCAATTCTTGCTTTAGGATTAGCATTAGTTGGTTCTGTTCAAAGACTCCTTCATATCCAACAAAGATGTGCTGAATTTCCACTATCCAACTTAGATAGATGCTAACTTTCTGTACACAAACAACACACAGGATGAAGGCTTCATACCTAGCTTGTCATTATCACCAGGAATGGCTAACATATACATTTGACATCTATGTCTATAGATTTCCCTTGCAATTCATTCCCAAACATTTTCAATGGGGTTCAGGTCAGGTAAACTTGCTGGATGATCCAAAAGAATCATGTTATTCACCATGAAAAAAGTCCTTTGTACTGCTGGCATTATGGATTGCAGAAACCTGCTGAAAGATCCAGTCATTTGCATGCAAGTGAGGTCCTTCAGTCAATAAGGATGCTCTCTCCAACATGCCAATGTAGCCAGTCATGGTTTGACACCCCTGTATAACCTGAAGCTCCATTGTTTCTTGATAGCACCCGAGATCATGATGGAACCTGCTCTAGTGTCATGTAGAAAATATCTCCAGCAGGATATCCTTATCATGCCAGTAATGGATCATCCAGATTAAATTTTTTCACATCACAGAACAAAACCTTCTTCCACTTTTCTATGTGCCATGTTTGGCACTTATCAGCAAAGTTTAACCAAACTATTTTGTGGTGTGGAAGGTGTTTCTCTCTTGGAGGTGACATCTTATTGTTCTTAAGCTGCATTCTGTTTCCATAAAGGCTTTAATCTGGTTTGATGATTGGCTTGTATCTTGTCAAACCATCCTGCTCAACACCGACAAAATTTTCTTGTGTCAAACACTTGAAATTCTCATTCTATATCCCTCAGAGTCTTTTAATAAATTTGCAAAAACAGTTTTATTACATCCAATCTCAATGGCATATTGAGAGAGACCTTGTTTTTGCAACTCAGCAATTTTGCCACATTCAAATGTCAACATTTTAGTCTTTGCCATGTTTTTACCTAATGTAATACAGGAGATACTAGTGGGAAATCTTGACTGCGCTAATGCTTGAACACAATTCACTAAATTTCGTTACGTATTTACCAATTAAAGTTTTGTTTAAATATGGTCTTAAACTTTTGACCACCTTGTATTTAGCTTAATTTCCCAGCATTCAAAAGTTTTTAATTATTATTTTTATTTTCTTATTTTCATTTTTCAAAGCTCTACTCAAATGGTTGAGTCTAACAATGCAAAACATTTTTTCTTTATTTTCAATTGCCTTAAGATTTTGGCCAGAAGTGTATATATGTTGAACCTATTTTTGTGTGACTTTTTGATATGCTTCTGAAATCTTTACTTACTAGCTTCTTTAATTATAAAATTTGAATATTACAACAGTCTTAGAATTATTAATCAACTGAATTTCTTTTTAATCAGAATCACCACAAGCAAGGCAGTAATGCCACTAAAGCACTAGGAGTTACAGGTTGTGAAAATATTAGGAACGGAAACATTAATTATGAGCTGAAAGAGAAGAGAGTAATCAGATAGACAATAGATAGCAATTAACATTGCATTTAAATTTTTGCAGAATAAAGTTAGCTGGAAAGCAAGGAGCCAGAAAGGAGTTCCACAAGCGAGAAGTGTGAAAGAATAAACTGTTAGCATAGAATTTATGGCTATATCTAGCCAGATTCTGGAGAGAAAAAGTGTCTCACTCGACATGATGAACCAACTATATATAATCTTACCACTTCATATCAGCAGAAAATATGAGTCTGAGAAGGTACAACAAGTCACTTGTCTGAAGGATAGCATCAGCCATGCTGATGGAAGGAAGGAAGAGATCTCTCAGATAATTAATGCAGAGAAGCTTAGTTTTGGAGGCATTAAAATTCCCAAGCCATCTTTTGCCCCAGTTAACTAGTGGTCATTTTGGACATTGGCTGCCATTTTTACCTTATCAGACTAATAAGCCTATCGAGGCAGGAGTAAACTGTTGTGTCATCAGCATAGATACCAAGTTGAGAGCTGATGTCATCAGGAAGGTCATTAATGAAAATTAAAAATAGAGTAGGACCAAGAAAAAAAGCCCTGGGTGACATCTGCGTTAGTACAAAAGGATCTAGACGAGTGGTTGTTCAGGATAACTCTCATTTCACAATTTGATAGTAAAGACTGGATCAGTTCAAAAATGTGTCTGGAGATACCATAACTTTTCAGCTTGTGGAGAAGACCTGAATGCCAGACCCTGTCAAAGGCTTTTGAGATGTCCAATGCAACAGCCCAGGCTTCACTGTTTTTATTTAGAGCATGATAAACTCTTTCTACAATTATCAGCAGTTGACCTGGAGAAACAAAAACCATATTGCTTGTCTGAGAAAAGGCCATGAGATAAGAGATGATGAACCAATTCAATGTTGATTAGGGTCTCTAGGAGTTTCCCAAAAAGAGGTAGAAGGCTAATATGCTGATAGTTGGAAGAGTCAGACAGCTCACCAGAGTTCTTAAAAACTGGAGCAACAGATGATGACTTCCAGCAGACAGGAAAACAGGAGGCAGCAAGGCATTTATTATACAGTTTAGAGAGAACAGCAGCTAGTTCAGGAGCCTAATGACTATTACAGGAATACCATCAGGT